TTTTTTTTTTTTATGACCATACCTATGACCTACCACCCGTTAACCTTGGCTTAAGTGAAAACTTGTATTTTTCATACCACCAGGAGGTTATTATCCATTATTTTTAAGTTATTAATTTATTTTTTCTGGTTTGTTTATTATAATTTCATACGATCTATGTCAACTTTCATTTTCATTTTAAGATTAAGTCATTTAAGTACCATATTATTATTAATAACAATAAAATAAAATAGAACTGAATAAGTATCCTAATTCCATAGAGTATTTTAATATTTTAAACTTTTTAAGTTTATAACAATAATACAATTGGGTAAGAGTTTGATACTCTAGGTAGGTAGGTAGTTTGATACTCCAAAACGAATCTATAAAAATCTGATTTTTTTTCTTAGCAGGACTTTATTGTGTAATTATTAAAATTAAGTAGTAGTTACTTTATCAACACTGATAGGCATGATTCATTCCAGTTTTCTAAATTCAATGAGATGCTCAAGAGAAGAGACCAAATGATGATTAAATTTATTTCAATCTAACTCATTCAAAATACACATTTTGTACTGATACTTTAGGCAAATTTAGATAATATGTATTTACCATAATCAATWTAACCTACATTCTATGTCTTTTAATCCACATGTAACGTTTGTCTTTTTTAAACAATGCAAATTATCCAATGTGGCAGTCAAGTTTGATGGACATGGTTCACAAGAAGAAAACTCTGAAATGTTATCAACAATTCTGCTATTTTTTTCACAAACACAACTCAACCCTTGATATACAACAAAAAATATTAAAAATATTGTCATATTTTATCATTAATATAATATCCATTACTTACGATCTAAGGAAGATTTCTGGTGATCGTTACATTGTTTACATGTCATTAAACTGGGAACAAAATACTCACGCTCAGAACAGTTTTCAGGTGTAATAAACGTAATAATTTCTAGGTTTGAAAAGCAGAATTTTACAAAACTTAAAATAGTAATCAAATAATATAACTCCATGATTAAATAGTAATTGAATTTTTTAATCTACAAAATAAATAATTGAATCATTAAATCATTAAATCGTTAAATAATACAATAAATCATAATTACAACACAATGTCAGAATATATCATTTAAATATGCTTTTACACATACCACAGTTTGTTATGATTCAATTACCATGGCAACATAATAGTAATAATGGGGTTAAAATTTATTTTTATCATACTGGTTATGACAGTGGTTGTAACAGTGATTTTAGGTTTCACATACCCTTTATAAAAAAAATGAAATGCTTTATCTGCCTTCTACAATTAGAAAAAAAATTAACATTTTCCTTAGTAAATAAACAACTTTTTATGTACACACAAAATTAATAATATTCAAATTTAAGTGCAAAAAGAAATAATTTAAGAGCATAAGGAGATGTGATTATTATTTATGTCTATTTAATTATTATCCTTATATTTTTTTTTTTTTTTTGAAGAAAATATATTTGTTTATGTTTCTGAAATTGAGTCTTTGTCAACATGTTCCTTTTTATACTTCAATAAAAATGCAGCTAGAAAACCCAATGGATCAGGAGGTCTGAAAGTTTTAAGAGTAACAATTAGAAACAGTTAATTACATTGATAAATATTTTATTTACTAATTATACCATAACTGAATCATCAGTAAACATCATTGTTTGGCAATTTAATATTAATTTTATTATAGTTAATCAAATAAATAATCGTTTACAGGTACTCAGGTAACACTGTTCATTACTCTTAACAAGTCTACTATCTGTATTCTGTATGCCTACCGAGTATAGTGAAACTATGCTACTATATACTCTAGGGGCCAGGGGGGTATAGTGACCGGACAGATTAAGGTATAGGTTGTGAAGCGCACCGTTGCTGGTTCAAATCCCAGTCATGAACGGCATAGCTTTCCTTGCAGTTCACTCTGTTTGGAAACAGGCCTCCCCCCACCCGGGCATAGTAGAAAAACCTAAGGGTGCCCATTCGAAATTCTACAAAAAAAATCCACGAGTTCTAAAAGCCAACAGTTCTTTCCCCATAGTTCAGGAAGACACGGAAACTATACACTAACAATTGAGCCCACAAACAATTTTCTAACATATTTTCCAAAATTAATTCCATAAATTAATTCATAACTCAGCTGATGGTAAACAATCTAAAAATTCAAAATAACTAAATACCATTACAGTATCACTACAACAAATGTAATAAAATATGTAGATACTGGATATTATAGGGCATTAAAATGAAATAAATACTAGAAAAAAACATTAATATTAATGTAGTTAAGCAAGTCTAAATACCTATTATGTATTTTATAAATAATAGTAAATATTGCTTACCTTTCCTTGACTAACTCCTTCATGCCTACTAACAACGCTGGTACTACAGTTTGGTCTAAATATT